TATGTCTAATAACAGGATATGTCTAATAACAGGATATGTCTAATAACAGGATATGTCTAATAACAGGATATGTCTAATAACAGGATGTGTCTAATAACAGGATGTGTCTAATAACAGAATATGTCTAATAACAGAATATGTCTAATAACAGGATATGTCTAATAACAGGATGTGTCTAATAACAGGATATGTCTAATAACAGGATGTGTCTAATAACAGGATATGTCTAATAACAAGATATGTCTAATAACAGGATGTGTCTAATAACAGGATATTTCTAATAACAGGATATGTCTAATAACAGGATATGTCTAATAACAGGATGTGTCTAATAACAGGATATGTCTAATAACAGGATATGTCTAGTAACAGGATATGTATAATAACAGGATATGTCTAATATCCTGTATGTCTAATAACAGGATATGTCTAATAACAGGATATGTCTAATAACAGGATATGTCTAGTAACAGGATATGTCTAATAACATGATATGTCTAATAACAGGATATGTCTAATATCCTGTATGTCTAATAACAGGATATGTCTAATAACAGGATATGTCTAATAACAGGATATGTCTAATAACAGGATATGTCTAGTAACAGGATATGTCTAATAACAGGATATGTCTAATAACAGGATATGTCTAATAACAGGATATGTCTAATAACAGGATATGTCTAATAACAGGATGTGTCTAATAACAGGATATGTCTAATAACAGAATATGTCTAATAACAGGATATGTCTAATAACAGGATGTGTCTAATAACAGGATGTGTCTAATAACAGGATATGTCTAATAACAGGATGTGTCTAATAACAGGATATGTCTAATAACAGGATATGTCTAATAACAGGATGTGTCTAATAACAGGATATTTCTAATAACAGGATATGTCTAATAACAGGATATGTCTAATAACAGGATGTGTCTAATAACAGGATATGTCTAATAACAGGTTATGTCTAATAACAGGATATGTCTAATAACAGGATGTGTCTAATAACAGGATGTGTCTAATAACAGGATATGTCTAATAACAGGATATGTCTAATAACAGGATAAGTCTAATAACAGGATGTGTCTAATAACAGGATATGTCTAGTAACAGGATATGTCTAATAACAGGATATGTCTAATATCCTGTATGTCTAATAACAGGATATGTCTAATAACAGGATATGTCTAATAACAGGATATGTCTAATAACAGGATATGTCTAGTAACAGGATATGTCTAATAACAGGATATGTCTAATAATGTGATGTCTAGTAACAGGATATGTCTAATAACAGGATATGTCTAATAATGTGATGTCTAGTAACAGGATATGTCTAATAATGTGATGTCTAGTAACAGGATATGTCTAATAACAGGATATGTCTAATAATGTGATGTCTAATAACAGGATATGTCTAATAACAGGATATGTCTAATAACAGGATATGTCTAATAATGTGATGTCTAGTAAAAAGCATGAGCTGGCGCACACCCAGAGGATATGATTTAGTGTAGAGCTGCTGACTAAGGACACACCCAGAGGATATGATTTAGTGTAGAGGTGCTGACTAACGACACACCCAGAGGATATGATTTAGTGTAGAGGTGCTGACTAAGGACACACCCAGAGGATATGATTTAGTGTAGAGGTGCTGACTAAGGACACACCCAGAGGATATGATTTAGTGTAGAGGTGCTGACTAAGGACACACCCTGAGGATATGATTTAGTGTAGAGGTGCTTACTAAGGACACACCCAGAGGATATGATTTAGTGTAGAGGTGCTGACTAAGGACACACCCAGAGGATATGATTTAGTGTAGAGGTGCTGACTAAGGACACACCCAGAGGATATGATTTAGTGTAGAGGTGCTGACTAAGGACACACCCAGAGGATATGATTTAGTGTAGAGGTGCTGACTAAGGACACACCCAGAGGATATGATTTAGTGTAGAGGTGCTGACTAAGGACACACCCAGAGGATATGATTTAGTGTAGAGGTGCTGACTAAGGGGGAATAAACTGGAAGCTATAAAAATAAATAGAGTTGCACACTCCATATATATATATATATATATATATAACTCCCAGTCATTTATTTGGTAAAACACCAATGTTTCGGCATCACTGTGCCTTCTTCAACAATCAGCTGCAGGTTATGAGCAGTCAGCAGTTCACACACCAAGTAGGCCACTGGGAAGACAGACAGCACTTAAAGTAGATGGCGCTAGCTAGCAAAAAGACAGTCCTAGATGACAGATAGACAAAAATGATACTTATCACTCCCGGAGATATCAGGAGTCCTCTAACTGTAGAATGAAGTACTAAAAAAGGTATGCTTAGATAACCTACGCAGAATAGTTTTTCCTTCCATAGAATTAAGCATAATGATTATGCCTCTAGATTACAGGGAAAAGGAACAGTTCTCCAACTTCAGGAGGCTGGCCAGCCCCATCCTCACATCCTTCTCGCCCCCTTCTAATATAAAATGGGTGCATGGTGCCCCCCCGAGTTCACCCTTATGGAGGCATCGGGGTGAAATGTTTGGGTTGACCATACGGGCATCATATCATCTCCCTCCCCACTGACTCCCTCTCTCTTCCCCCCTCTCTATCCATCTCTCCCTCCCACTCCTGCACTCTGTAGGCGGATTTCCATTAGAAAGAGTATTCTGCATATCAATCCCTTTAAAGCTTTAATTAAAAAGCTGCTATATTCACTCTGCCTCCACGCCTGCTTTCGTCAGTGCGCTGTAAATAGGCAGAGTGTCCCTCTGGTACCCTGTCAATGGGGTGGGCGAGGGCCCGGTCCTGCATCTGGGAACCAAATGAGTTCATTGTTAGGAGAGGACTAAGGGATCTTTCATCTGGGGCTTGCATCCCAAATGGCACCCTATTCCCTATAAAAAGTTCACTACTTTTGGCCAGAAACCTATGGGGCCATGGTCAAAAGTAGTGTACTATATAGGGAATAGGGTGCCATTTGGGATGCACACTGATGCTGTTCTGTTATTATGGAGTGACAGTCATCCTCTGTGTCCTCTAGTGGAGTAAACACTAGATGTTGTTGTCATCACTGGCCTCCAACGCTCATATGTTAAGAAATGATGACTCAATACAGACACAGAGACCATTTTTGGTGATCACTCATCCTCATTGTACCTAGGGCAAAATATTAATTGGCAGCGATTTTGTGACGATTACTGTTTCCTAAAACAGAAATATGAACGCACAAATATCACATTAAGGGTGTTTTTCACTCTTTAAAAAAAGAGATGAACTCATCACCACTGCGCTGGGAGCAGAAACAGATTGACAGTAATTCTGTGATTCTTCGAGACATTCATGTTTCCTAAAGCATGAATGGAAAGACGCAAATATAATGTAAACTAATAATAGCCTGAAATCTACGTCTCTTCACTATAGAGAGAGATACAGTCTGGTCCCTTCTGTCTCTTCACTATAGAGAGATACAGTCTGGTCCCTTCTGTCTCTTCACTATAGAGAGATACAGTCTGGTCCCTTCTGTCTCTTCACTATAGAGAGATACAGTCTGGTCCCTTCTGTCTCTTCACTGTAGAGAGATACAGTCTGGTCCCTTCTGTCTCTTCACTATAGAGAGATACAGTCTGGTCCCTTCACGTCATTAGGTGAATCACCTACTGTATACTAATGCACCTATATATATATATATATATATACATATACACACACACCTGTACACACTAATGTATTGATCTCTAGGCAGCTTTCCATTGACCCAGGGTTTATTCGACAAAATAAATGTCACAACAAAAAAAAAGAATTGCGACATGTTTAATGGAAACGGAAGATACAGGAGAAATTTTTAAAAGATCGACAACATTTTCATCCGTTCGACAGGATTTGTATTTTGTCTAATTTTCTTTATAAATCATTTATCAAAATAAAATTATGATTGCCGAATAATTTCGAAGGTACACGTGATGTCAACAAGGGACTATGAAGCTACTGCCTGCTAAATCTATTTTTCAATTACACAAAATTAGATATTTACATTTTAGTCATTTAGCAGACGCTCTTATCCAGAGCGACTTACAGTTAGTGAGTGCATACATAATTTTTTGTATTTTTCAAACCCACAACCCTGGCGTTGCAAACGCCATGCTCTACCAACTGAGCTACATCCCTGCCGGCCATTCCCTCCCCTACCCTGGACGACGCTGGGCCAATTGCGCGCCGCCCCATGGGTCTCCCGGTCGCGGCCGGCTACGACAGAGCCTGGATTCGAACCAGGATCTCTAGTGGCACAGCTAGCACTGCGATGCAGTGCTTTAGACCACTGCGCCACTCGGGAGGTATATTTAATATCTTTATTAAAACAGCAACAAGTTGACTGGGTCCATTCAATTCTCTGTTATGAGCTGGAAAAGCTCTCCTTGTCTACAGACTTGCAGAAACATGACTGAATTAGGGTTTTAAAATGTTGGTAACTTTCCCAGAATTCCCATGTTTTCCAGAAAAACCCAGTTGGATGATTCCTGGAATCAGGAGGGATTAAGCAGGAAATCCGGAGCCTCCAACCAGGATTTCTGGAAAACCTTGGAATTTGAGGAAAGTTAGCAGAATATTGCAACCCTAGACTGAATACAGTAGGACCACATTGGAATATACAATGTAATTATCATTTTTAGCCACACTGGAGAAAATACTTTTTATTTTAAACAAGTTAAACAAACAATTCAGCTTTTTTTTTTTCTCAGAGTAAGATATTCCATTTTTGTAGACCATGACATAAAAACAAACATTAACAGTTGACACCATTTCATGATATTCTCAGTCCCGTCCAAGTGTATTGGTAATATTATACAACCTTTCTGCATGTGAAGTGGTATTATTCCATGGATATAACTGTAGCATGACATCAAAGTCTATCAGTCAATCCTCAGACCCATAACAGTATCCACTGTGGACGCAATGTGGATACCTTCCGTCTGGAGGAGGAAGATGATGCCTAGTGGATCAGCTTGGGGCTGTGGGAGACAGGAAACTCCTTTCTCACTGTGTCTGCCAGCTTGGGATCAGCCTCTGACAACATGAAGACCAGGTGTTGTACCTATACAGAGGATAGAGGGTTAGTTATGACAACATTAATCTATACAGGGCAGAGGGTTAGTTATGACAACATGAAGACCAGGTTTTGTACCTATACAGAGGATAGAGGGTTAGTTATGACAACATGAATCTATACAGAGGATAGAGGGTTAGTTATGACAACATGAAGACCAGGTTTTGTACCTATACAGAGGATAGAGGGTTAGTTATGACAACATGAATCTATACAGAGGATAGAGGGTTAGTTATGACAACATGAATCTATACAGAGGATAGAGGGTTAGTTATGACAACATGAATCTATACAGGGCAGAGGGTTAGTTATGACACCATGAAGACCAGGTGTTGTATCTATACAGAGGGTGGAGGGTTAGTTATGACAACCCCTGTACTCAGACCAGGAGGAATCACAAACTTCTACAGATGCACAATTGAGAGCATCCTATTGGGCTGTATCACCGCCTGGTACGGCGACTGCAGGGCTCTCCAGAGTGTGGTGAGGTCTGCCGAACGCATTACCGGGGGCAAACTACCAGCCCTCCAGGACAACTACAGCACCCGATGTCACAGGAAGGCCAAAAAGATCATCAAGGACAACAACCACCTGAGCCACTGCCTGTTCACCCCTCTATCATCCAGAAGGTGAGGTCAGTACAGGTGCATCAAAGCTGGGACCGAGAGAATGAAAAACAGCTTCTATCTCAAGGCCATCAGACTGTTAAACAGCCATCACTAGCACAGAGAGGCTGCTGCCTACATACAGACTTGAAGATCAATGGCCACTTGAATAATGTTTACATATCTTGCATTCCCCATCTCATATGTATATACTGTATTCTATACTATCTATTGCATCTTAGCCTATGCTGCTCTGATAATGACATTGCTCATCCATATATTTATATATTCTTATTCCATTCCTTTACTTAGATTTGTGTGTATTAGGTTTTTGTTGTGGAACTGTTAGATATTACCTGCTAGATATTGCTGCACTGTCGGAACTAGAAGCACAAGCATTCTGCTACACTCACAATAACATCTGCTAACCATGTGACCAATACATTTGATTTGATTTGAAGTGTTAGGGCGTGGCGGAAACCCATGTTGACTGTAGTTTCCAGAGAACAAGTGACATCACAGACAAAGACAACACACAAACTTGAAACAAAGTCTTAAAATCGACCTGATTTAGCATAATGTTGATTACATCCTATCCACTGGCCTCTATTTTTCAGTCATGATGGATATTCTATAGCGCATTATAAAGCGGGAGGGAGAACTTACGGCAGGGCTGAACTGGGGGAGCATAGAACCTACTGCTGGCAGACATGTCTTTTCTGTCAGGTAACCTCTCCTCACCAACTCTGACACCGCATCCTAGGGAACACACACACACACACACACAAACACAAACACGCACACACACACACACGCACACACGATATAGGTTATAAACATATAAGACATTTTATATTGTATTAACTTAAGACTATTTTTGGTTTAGAGATGAAGTAACATTGTAGGACACAGTGGCTGTTTTTGATTGGACAGTTCCAGCAGCAGCGTTACCTTGGTGAGGTCAGTGACGATGTCAGAGAGGAACTCTACCGTTGTCTGGATCAGAGCCCGGAGCTGCTCATCCACCTCCTCCACCTCTTCCTCCACCTCCTCCTCTTCCTCCTTCTTCTTCTGTCCGTGTCCAGAACTGACCTGGCACTCTCTGTGGTACTGCAGTACCCTCAACATGCTCCCAACTAGAGGCAAGACTGGAGAACAGGGCACAGGCCTTTCAAATACTTTGGGATGATTCGGACATGAAATTCAAAAAACACACTCATTTTGCCTTACATTGGTTTGACTTTCAGGTACATTGACTTCCAGTGGTTTTGGTAAGAAAATGCTCAAGTTATCAGTTAGTAAAAGTAGAAGAAATATGCTCACATCTCATTATTAAAAAAGTACCACATTAGCAACACCTCTCGTTCATCACAGGATAAGACAGAGAGAGAGTGAAAAATCCAGAGGTCCTTACACGTGTCCGCTTTGCTGTGCTCTTGTTCCTGGTCCTGACATGAATACAGGACTGACAGAACAGCCAGCGCATGGACCAGTAAGATCTTCTCTTCCTGTAGTACTAGTGGAGGGTCATCTGGCTGACACAGGTCCTCACAGACCACCTCACACAGGAAGCTCCATAGTACCTGGCCCGTCCCACCTGCAACAGCTGGAGAGGAGGAGTGGAGGGGAGACCAGGGAAATGAGTTAAATTTGATGTCTACTAGCTCAACTTGACCTGCTATGAGTAATGAATACATTGGAAATCTTACTAACTTCAGCTCTCAGGATAAAAACACAAAAACAAGCAAGATATAAATATATTAATGTACTAAAATACTAGATATGCGAGAGGGAGAAGTCATGTAAGAGAGAAGTTGCTGTAATTTATGATCATTTACATAAAGCAACTATTTTGTAACATTTTAGAACAACATGTCTCACCCAGCGTCTCAATCCCCTGATGGATCGTGGTGAGGAGCTGGAGGGCATGCAGATAAACCTTTAAACCCTCTGGACTCTCTGACCTGTGGAAACATGTGGATAGCCCCTCATAAACTCTCTGACCTGTGGAAACATTGGGGATAGCCCCTCAAACTCTCTGACCTGTGGAAACATGTGGATAGCCCCTCATAAATCCTCTGACCTGTGGAAACATGTGGATAGCCCCTCATAAACCCTCTGACATGTGGAAACATGTGGATAGCCCCTCATAAACTCTCTGACCTGTGGAAACATTGGGGATAGCCCCTCAAACTCTCTGACCTGTGGAAACATGTGGATAGCCCCTCATAAACCCTCTGACATGTGGAAACATGTGGATAGCCCCTCATAAACTCTCTGACCTGTGGAAACATTGGGGATAGCCCCTCATAAACTCTCTGACCTGTGGAAACATTGGGGATAGCCCCTCATAAACTCTCTGACCTGTGGAAACATTGGGGATAGCCCCTCAAACTCTCTGACCTGTGGAAACATTGGGGATAGCCCCTCAAACTCTCTGACCTGTGGAAACATTGGGGATAGCCCCTCAAACTCTCTGACCTGTGGAAACATTGGGGATAGCCCCTCAAACTCTCTGACCTGTGGAAACATTGGGGATAGCCCCTCAAACTCTCTGACCTGTGGAAACATTGGGGATAGCCCCTCAAACTCTCTGACCTGTGGAAACATTGGGGATAGCCCCTCATGTTGCTTGCCATATCAGAATGGCACCACCCAGTGGCAGGTCTCCTGAAAACATGATGTCATGCTGTTACAAGCTTGCTCTTACTAATACCTCCATCAAAGCGGTTATTACGGAGTTGTTCTTACCAATACTTTCTAAGAGAATATTAGCGGAAACAACTGTCTTTACCTTAGCTGCTTGGCAGCCTCGAGGAGCGAGGAGGCCACGCCCAGACGTCTCTCCCCACCCTCTTCTTCATCACTGGGCTGAGATCCAGCTGTGACCCAGGTCTTCATCAACTCTTCATCCAGGTCAAACAGCTTGTCAACCAGCTCCCCCACCTTCACCAGCAGGTCAACTACGGAGAGAGGGTATAGTCAGACAGAAACACACAGACACACACACACACACACACACACACACACACCCACCCATGCACAGATGCATAGACACACTCACACACAGAGACAGAAACACACACACACACACACACACACACACACACACACAGAGGAAATGACAGGCAAACAGTGGGCTTCACTCATCAACAGTTACATCAAATATGTATATTTGTTCTTATGAAACAATCTAACAGAAACCCACACAAGAATGATCAGGCCTGGGTATCCTAGAGGTCGGTGCCACCTCCTACAGCACCCGTTGGTGGTGTCGGTGACACACTCTATCCATCTCTACAACGGTCTACCCTCTTTCCAATAAAACGTACAAAATTGACAAATATCAGGGGTCGGAACCTGTTCAGGGAACTTAAAACCCGAAAGTAACGTCGTTTTTTTTTTTTGAGGAACAGAATCAGAACTAGGAACTAAAGTGATCTATATTATTCCAGAATGGAACAGTTAATTGAAAAACACGGGAACCGGGTTAATAACGTTATTTTACGATCCAGGCATTTTTTTTTTTGGTCCCACAAAAAACGCCCTCACTCCATCACTCAGAAACGTATTCCAGTGTCTGTCTGCCAGCTGAGCATCTTTACCAACAGAAACGTATTCCAGTGTCTGTCTGCCAGCTGAGCATCTTTACCAACAGAAACGTATTCCAGTGTCTGTCTGCCAGCTGAGCATCTTTACCAACAGAAACGTATTCCAGTGTCTGTCTGCCAGCTGAGCATCTTTACCAACAGAAACGTATTCCAGTGTCTGTCTGCCAGCTGAGCATCTTTACCAACAGAAACGTATTCCAGTGTCTGTCTGCCAGCTGAGCATCTTTACCAACAGAAACGTATTCCAGTGTCTGTCTGCCAGCTGAGCATCTTTACCAACAGAAACGTATTCCAGTGTCTGTCTGCCAGCTGAGCATCTTTACCAACAGAAACGTATTCCAGTGTCTGTCTGCCAGCTGAGCATCTTTACCAACAGAAACGTATTCCAGTGTCTGTCTGCCAGCTGAGCATCTTTACCAACAGAAACGTATTCCAGTGTCTGTCTGCCAGCTGAGCATCTTTACCAACAGAAACGTATTCCAGTGTCTGTCTGCCAGCTGAGCATCTTTACCAACATGTGTGCATGTAGGCTACCTGCCCCTCCCCTCTGAAGCATACTCTAGTAGCTTCTAACTACTAAGCGGCAAGTAACTTAGTGGTTAAGAGCGTTGTGCCAGTAACCGAAAGGTCGCTGGTTCTAATCCCAGAGCCGACTAGGTGAAAAATCTGTCGATGTGCCCTTGAGCAAGGCACTTAACCCTAATTGCTCCTGTAAGTCGCTCTGGATAAGAGCGTCTGCTAAATGACTAAAAATAAAAATTGCCTACTGACATTACAAGCATGATTCAGAAATTAGGGAGACATTTCTAAATTAGAGATGAATGGATTAACCTTTTCAATGCTAGTTAAGGATATTATAGTTGTCACGTTTCACTTTGGATTTAGAAGAAGTGCTTTATTTAATCTCTGGTACCGCTCTGCACACACACGTTAAACCAAGTCTGAATTTCAAAAGACATTCAAAGTTCCTTCATAGAAGCCGCTTCTCCCTAGGTATAATTCTGTGGGTCTAATTCAGATAATTATTGTCATAACGACAAGATGCCCAGCGCTTCAAGCCAAGCCTCTTCCACCCTCTCTCACACCACCCGCCTTACACTTCTGTCCAATGTTTGTAAATAGCTTGCTCTATAGCAAGCTGCTCTGATTGGTGAAGTAATTAATGTTGAGCTATAGACTTCAGAGGTTTATGGGTGGATGGGGATTGGGGGGGGGGGGGGGGGGGGACTGAAAGTTGGTCACCCCCCCCCCCCCCCCCCCAAAAAAATAATCTAATGTTTCTTACACATCAGAAATTGTTTGTTTACCTTACATCAGTGCCCGACCTCACTAATGCTCTTGTGGCTGAATGGAAGCAAGTCCCCGCAGCAATGTTCCAACATCTAGTGGAAAGCCTTCCCAGAAGAGTGGAGGCTGTTATAGCAGCAAAGGGGGGGACCAACTCCATATTAATGCCAATGATTTTGGAATGAGATGTTCGACAAGCAGGTGTCCACATACTTTTGGTCATGTAGTGTGTGTCTGTGTCTAAGGTACAGGGAGTCAGTTTAGGTGATCAGCCCAGTTTAAGTGTTCTGATGGCTTGTAGATATAAACTGTCTCTGAGCCTGTTGGTATCAGACCTCATGCTCCAATACAGTCTGATGGCTTGTAGATAGAAACTGTCTCTGAGCCTGTTGGTATCAGACCTCATGCTCCAATACAGTCTGATGGCTTGTAGATAGAAACTGTCTCTGAGCCTGTTGGTATCAGACCTCATGCTCCGGTACCGTCTGGCTGACAGTAAGGGAGTGAACAGCTCGTGGCTGGGGGGTGTGGGGGGTCCTTGATGATGCTGCGGTACTTCCTCAGGCACCGTTTCAAGTGGAGGTCCTGGATGGGGTGGGAACACGGCCCCAGCAAACCTGCCAACCTTGAATAATTTTTATCAGTACCACTTCAGCGTGGCAGTGGCACTCCCAAGCTCGAGGACCCCACGACGGCCCACATAGGTCAGACTACTAGGCTACCATTCATTCAACATGCCTTGTTGTCATTGGTGACCTGGCTTTTATGACATCATTAGCAGCCTACTGTTGACATACAGCAATATGAAGAGGACGGATCAACAACTGATTCATTAACACAGGCCTACTCATCTTTAAACAGTCCAACATAACGGTACTGGCGGATCAGCTCTCTCTGCCGTGTGTTCCCATCCACGCAGCGACGCCAACTGGACTACGGTGACACTGCACACGTTTCCTTGCTCGTCAATGCGCTCGTGCCGACTACCGTTGCGGGGATCAAAGCATGTGCGGGCAAGAAAGTGTTCTCGCTTAGTTGACTAAACACAGTAGCTAACGACCTTTGTTGTAATGACACGCCTTAGCTAAGGAGCTAACTATAAAATAATAGTGGTTGTCTAAGTGTGCTTGACTAACACATAACATTTTGGAAAATGTATTTGGCAAACAGTCCGTTCTCCATTTACCCTTTTTCCAGCAGCAGACGAAGTGAAGCCAGGGAGGAAAACAGTACTGCGACTACGGGGGCCGGGCCGGAGAGCTAGAGATTTATCCTCCTTGCTCAAGTCGTCTGATTGGTTCAGCTGCAACTTCAGACGGCTAAGTCAAAAACCCCAATGTGCCAACTAGAAGCCCATTTTTTTTGTATTTTAATGTCGTTTCTTCCCCCCCCCCCCCCCGCACTATCGTACCCTGACCTCAAAATTGCGTGCATGGTACACGTGCAGGTTGGCAGATCTGCCCCAGTGATGTACTGGGGCTTGTGGTCATGGACGGAGCAATTCCCGAACCAGGCGGGGAACTTTAAAAAACGTCTGAGTCTCCCGTTGATGTGGATTCATGGCGTGTTCCCCCGTCCTCTGGTTTAACCCTGAAGTCAATAATCAACTCCTTTGTTTTGCTGACGTTGAGGGAGAGGTTGTTGTCATAGCACCACAATGCCAGTTCACTTACCTCCTCCCTATTGGCTGACTCATCGTTGTTGGTTATCAGGCCTACAACTGCGGTGTCGTCAGCAAACTTGATGATGGAGTTGGTGTCGTGCAAAAGCCACGCGTTCGTGGGTGAACAGGGAGTACAGCAGAGGGCTGAGGACATAACCCTGGGGGGGGCCCTTGTGTTAAGAGTCAGTGTGGAGGAGGTGTTGTTGCCAATCCTCACAGCCTGCGGGCTGCCCGTCAGGAAGTCCAGGATCCAGTAGCAGATGGTAGTGGCAAGAACCAAGGCTCAGAGCTTGGAGGGAACAATAATGTTGAAAGCTAAACTGTAGTCGACGAACAGCATTCGCACATGTTCCTGTTGTCCAGATGTGTTAACGGCCGTGTGAATAGTGATGGAAATGGCATCTTCCATGGATCTGTTGGAGCGGTGGGCCGATTTGAGTGGGTCCAGTGTGCCTTGCATTTGGCCTTGACGTGGGCCATGACCAATCTCTCAAAGCACTTCATGATGACCGAGGTCATAGTCATTTGGGGATGACACCTTGGTTTTCTTGGGCACTGGGACAACTGTCTCCTTGAAGCAAGTGGGGACTACAGCCTGGGACAGGTTGAAGATGTCCGAGAAGACAATACCGAGCCATCCAGGAAGGCTCTCGCTGCGCCGGACGACCAGGTGCTTTCGCTCTCCAAGGCTGACGTGAGGGAAAACTGTCAAAAGAGTGATTATTCATAAAGCTGTTGGGCGCACGCGGCCAGGGACGCCATCTGGGCTGGCAGCTTTATGAATAATCACTCTTTTGACAGTTTTCCCTCACGTCAGCCTTGGAGAGCGAAAGCACCTGGTCGTCCGGCGCAGCGAGAGCCTTCCTGGATGGCTCGGTATCGTCTGCCACAAAGCGAGCATAGAATGTGTTAATCCCGTCTGGGAGGGAGGCTTCGGTGGGCACCGCACAGCTGGATTTGCCTTCGTAGTCTGCGATTGCCTGTAGTCCTTGCCACATGCGACGCGAATCTGAGTTGTCGAATATCGATTCAAGTTTGAGTTTGTATTGTCTTTTGGGTCCCTAATGGATATGCAGTGCTTCCACCTGCATGCGTTGCTTCCCACCGAGTCGCCGGGGTTCGTTCTGCTGACATAGAATGCTGCAGAACGGGCTCTCAGCATGGTACGGATTTCTCCGTTCATCCAGAGAGATTTTGGTTGGGGTATGTCTGATTGTTATTGTGGGTACAACATCATCAACACATTTTCCTAACGAAGCCTGTGACTGACGATGCATATTCCACAACGTTGATGGATGAGTCCTGGTTGGATCAATCTTTGAACATATTCTAACCAGTATTCTCAATACACACACACACACACACACACACACACACACACATACACACACATACACATACACATTTGTGCAAAGTCACGTTTTGATAAATGATTCCCAGTTGTTGTAAAATATGAAGGACTTACTGTTGGTGGAACTCCACATGATAAAGCAGAGGCTGGAGCACACAGAGGTCTGCTGCCGTATTCTGTCCAGCCACAGAGAAGACACATCGCTCTGGGACACACAGGTCAACAGCAGTCTGGACAAAGAAATTCACACAAATCAATACATGAAATAATCAACAAAAACACAAACACACTCTAAAAAGCAAGTGCCAAGAGACAAGGCTTAGGTCTACCCTACAGTAATACACTAAATCACATATCTGGTACATAATTGCACATGTTGTAACACATCATTAAATATATTGAGGCAAAAAGGACAGTAGCCTACAATTTGCTAAAATATAACTCAATTGACTGAACACGTAATGGATTTCAATACGTAGCCTAATTGACGTAGTTCTGTTGTTGAGCTGTTCTTGTCTATTAATGTTCTGTATTATGTCATGTTTCATGTTTTGTGTTGGACCCCGGGAAGAGTAGCTGCTGCTTTCGCAACAGCTACTGTGGATAACAAAACATCAAAAAATACCTAAGGCCTAATGTACAGTATATATTTTTATGCAGTCATCTCGGTTTCCATTTGAAGCTTATTTTTTTATCCTTTGCTTGTTTATACTGGCCCCGTGTAGCTCAGTTGGTAGAGCATGGCGCTTGCAACGCCAGGGTTGTGGGTTCGTTTCCCATGGGGGGGGGGGGGGGGGCAGTATGAAAATGTATGCACTCACTAACTGTAAGTCGCTCTGGATAAGAGTGTCTGCTAAAATGACTAAAATGTAAAATGTTTAACAATTGCAAAGACATTGGCAACTTTGTAGTCAACTTCATTGCGAAGTTATCGGAGGTCACAGAGACACCGATAAACAGCTTGATTCTGTGTTCAGCTGAGATCTTCTGAGTATAAAGTGAGGCGGAAGGACAAAAAAAGATTCTAATGACGCACTTAGCTGTTCTACGAGTGGTCTGAGGCAGTTGGCAAATAACAAACATTTTAAAAGTGCAACTTTAGTATCGATGGTTTTGGGAAACTACTCGGAGATTTAACGATGCTCCTACGACGGTTCTAACGATGAACTTAGCATTAAGATGCTTTAGGGAAACCGGGCCCAGTTCATTTCGTAGAGTTACATCTCTATAAAAAAAAAGGTATATACAGCATTGTGCTTCTTCCTCTTATTTGAGCCACGACAACAGACAATGAAGGAATTTTTCTAGCCCTTTTAGGGTATTCTCACCTGGTTGTCTCCAGCAGTGTCGGGGGATCAGTGTCTCCAAGAAGGAGCAACAGCACCACCCTGTGGAGAGAAACATAATTACATGAGAGAAACTGTTACATCCTCCATAGGCGTTGCAACATTGCTGGACATATCGAAGCCAGCACAGTACTGTTCAGGTTGTCATGATAGTGTGAAAAAGGGTTTTAGTGTTGGTGTTGAAAAGGGAAAAGTGTTTTTAGTGTCTCCACCCACCCTAGGTCGTTGTTCTGGCTGAGGGTCAGACAAGGCCCAGGGAAGCAGGCTATGTTACCCAGGATCCCCACACATATCTCCTGGGGAGAGAGGACAAGAGAAAACATCAATAAGATGCCATGGCAACATGAAGTTGTGCCAATTAAAAAAATTATTGCTGGGTGGGTGCAACTGGGGGGAAAAAGGACTATTGAATGCATTTCAAAGACTAGACGGTGGACTGATTAAGCAATAAGGTCCAAGGGGGTGTGGTATATGGCCAATATACCACGGTATAACAACGTATATCATAAACCCCTGAGGTGCCTTATTGTTATTATAAACTGGTTACCAACCTAATTAGAGCAGTAAAAATACATGTTTTGTCATACCCGTGATATACCACGGCTGTCAACCAATCAGAATCCAGGACTCAAACCACCCGGTTTATAATAGAGTATAACACACATGATGTAAACTAGAACGTTGAACAGTTCACTCACAGTGAGACGAGGGCATCGAGACTTAGCGATCACTCCCAGGAGGATATCTGCAGCTTTGAACTCCTGTAAGAAACCAGCCACATCCTACAGACAGACAGGGTCATATTAACCCATATGAAACGGAAAGAGATAAAAACACATTTAATTTAACCAGTAATATCAAAAACATTTGTAACATGAAAGTTCAATTTGACAGCAGACTAGCTGACTAATGACGATGTAACCTAGATATCATAAGCATGGTATTTATTTAAAGATCTCTGTATTCAGAATATATACACTGAGTGTACAAAACATTAGGAACACCATGACAGCCTGACCAGGTGAATCCAGGTGAAAGCTATTATCCCTTATCGATGTAATTTGTTAAATCCACTTCAAATCAGTGTAGATGAAGGGGAGGAGACAGGTTAAAGAAGGATTTTTAAACCTCAAAAACAGTTGAGACATGGATTGTGTATGTGTGCCATTCAGAGGGCGAATGGGCAAGACAAAATATTTAAGTGCCTTTGGAGTCAACAGGGGGCCAGCATCCCTGTGGAACGCTTTCAAAACCTTGTAGAGTCCATGCCCCGACATATTGAGGCTGTACTGACTGCAACTCAATATTAGGATGGTGTTACTAATATATATACAGTGAGGGAAAAAAAAGTATTTGATCCCCTGCTGATTTTGTACGTTTGCCCACTGACAAAGAAATGATCAGTCTATAATTTTAATGGTAGGTTTATTTGAACAGTGAGAGACAGAATAACAACAAAAAAATCCAGAAAAACGCATGTCAAAAATGTTATAAATTGATTTGCATTTTAATGAGGGAAATAAGTATTTGACCCCCTCTCAATCAGAAAGACTTCTGGCTCCCTGGTGTCTTTTATAAAGGTAACGAGCTGAGATTAGGAGCACACTCTTAAAGAGAGTGCTCCTAATCTCAGTTTGTTACCTGTATAAAAGACACCTGTCCACAGAAGCAATCAATCAATCAGATTCCAAACTCTCCACCATGGCCAAGACCAAAGAGCTCTCCAAGGATGTCAGGGACAAGATTGTAGACCTACGCAAGGCTGGAATGGGCTACAAGACCATCGCCAAGCAGCTTGGTGAGAAGGTGACAACAGTTGGTGCGATTATTCGCAAATGGAAGAAACACAAAATAACTGTCAATCTCCCTCGGCCTGGGGCTCCATGCGAGATCTCACCTCGTGGAGTTGCAATGATCGTGAGAACGGTGAGGAATCAGCCCAGAACTACACGGGAGGATCTTCTCAATGATCTCAAGGCAGCTGGGACCATAGTCACCAAGTAAACAATTGGTCACACACTACGCCGTGAAGGACTGAAATCCTGCAGCGCCCGCAAGGTCCCCCGCTCAAGAAAGCACATATACAGGGCCGTCTGAAGTTTGCCAATGAACATCTGAATGATTCAGAGGAGAACTGGGTGAAAGTGTTGTGGTCAGATGAGACCAAAATGGAGCTCTTTGGCATCAACTCAACTCGCCGTGTTTGGAGGAGGAGGAATGCTGCCTATGACCCCAAGAACACCATCCCCACCGTCAAACATGGAGGTGGAAACATTATGCTTTGGGGGTCTTTTTCTGCTAAGGGGACAGGACAACTTCACCGCATCAAAGGGACGATGGACGGGGCCATGTACCGTCAAATCTTGGGTGAGAACCTCCTTCCCTCAGCCAGGGCATTGAAAATGGGTCGTGGATGGGTATTCCAGCATGACAATGACCCAAAACACACGGCCAAGGCAACAAAGGAGTGGCTCAAGAAGAAGCACATTAAGGTCCTGGAGTGGCCTAGCCAGTCTCCAGACCTTAATCCCATAGAAAATCTGTGGAGGGAGCTGAAGGTTCGAGTTGCCAAACGCCAGCCTCGAAACCTTAATGACTTAATGACTTGGAGAAGATCTGCAAAGAGGAGTGGGACAAAATCCCTCCTGAGATGTGTACAAACCTGGTGGCCAACTACAAGAAACGTCTGACCTCTGTGATTGCCAACAAGGGTTTTGCCACCAAGTACTAAGTCATGTTTTGCAGAGGGGTCAAATACTTATTTCCCTCATTAAAATGCAAATCAATTTATAACATTTTTGACATGCGTTTTTCTGAATTTTTTTGTTGTTATTCTGTCTCTCACTGTTCAAATAAACCTACCATTAAAATTATAGACTGATCATGTCTTTGTCAGTGGGCAAACGTACAAAATCAGCAGGGGATCAAATACTTTTTTCCCCTCACTGTGTGTGTGTATATATATATATATATATATATATATATATATATATATATATATATATATATATATATATAGTACCAGTCAAAAGTTTGGACACACCTACTCATTCAAGGGTTTTTCTTTATTTTTACTATTTTCTACATGTTTCCCACGTTTTCCAATGTTCCCCATGTTTCCCAAGTTCCCCATGTTTCCCCACGTTTCCCCATGTTTTCCCCGCCAATAAAGTCCCTTTGAATTGTAAAGAAAGGAAGAAAGAGACAGACCTTGTCCATGGCCATATCCCAGATCTTACACAGATCATCCTCGTCTTCCTCTGGTAGCTGCATCTGGGCATCAGAGTCTCCCATGTTCTGCTCCGACACGATCTGAAAAACATAAACAAGATCAATGACGTGTCAATGACGCATTTTGAGCACAAGATGATGGGGCACTTTTTAGACTTCAATTGCCTAGATAAGTTGTCTCATGAGTCATGAAGCAACAAGTAATACTGTATTGCAACAATGCACCAGTTACCTACCTGAATCAGACGGGTCAAGGTGCTGAACAGCCAGTGTTTGCTGTAAACTGTCTCCCCGATAGCATCCACCTCCTCTCCGCCCTGCTCCCCCTCTTTGTCCGGGGGTGGTGAGGGGTTACGGTCCATGACAGGCGAGTTCGCCGGGGAGGATGACCAGATGCTGGAGTTGTCGTCATCCGCGCTGTGGTCCTCTAAACAGAAACGTTACAGGTAAGGTAAGGTGAGAGGCGCAATGCGCCAATGCTGGCCGCTACCTCTGGAGGTGTGCATGGCCATGTTCAGTACGAAAAACGTTATCGAACACTGCAGATACAAATACCACAAATAGAGCCGAAGTGGTTCCTTATTGTGCATGTCACTGTCAGAGATGCATGTTTGTTCTAACTCATTTATCTGTGAACGTTCCGTAACGTCGCGTCCTGCTGAATGCGTCCCAGACAGGATAGGGTAAGGACGGTTTCGCATGGGGGTAGCTAGCTAAATTTCGCCGGTCGATGTTGGCTAGTAAAAGTTCCTGGATATGTTAGCCAAGTCAGAAGATCAAGGCTAAAATATAATATAATATGACATTTAGCAGACGCTTTTATCCAAAGCGACTTACAGTCATGTGTGCATACATTTTTTGTGTATGGGTGGTCCCGGGGATCGAACCCACTACCCTGGCGTTGCAAGCGCCGTGCTCTACCAATTGAGCTACAGAGGACCATGCTATAAAATTAGCTAGCTAGCCATGTTAGCTGCACAGACCGGCTAGTTTCAGTAGCTATAGCGTTACCGTTCCTGTGCACATTAACAAAGCCATCGGTTTCCTTGAGCTCACCCATGAATGTTGACTGTCGTTCCTCGAGTATAATGATGGGTTTATATCGCTATGTTAGCCAGAAACGTATGTTCGCTTTAGGCAAATCGCTTGCTAACCAAAACAAACATTGTTCGTCGCGGCTAATGTTTTCAAATGAGTCTCCAACCCAATAGAAGGAATGCGCATGCGTGTGAAGGGTATATCTGAAGGAGTTTATAGCACAGAGTTTCTAAACCCAGAGGCACAACATCGCGAGATTTCCGGGAACGTTTGGGAAACAGACCATGCGGGGGGTTTGAGGAGTCAATGAGAGAATTGAAATATTCTTCCTTCGATAACACCGACGGTGTCCTTGCGTTTCTGTACACCAGAAGTACATTCATTTCCAATGGAACGCTGCATTTGCCTTGCAGCATCGCGTTGCAGAGCCATTTGCAGCGCGTTCTGTGTGGTGCATATGTTGGATAAATCGAACCTATGCATCAAATTGAATGCATAGACGGCTTGACAGAAATGATAGCAGAAGGTAAATGTTGAACTTTTGTTGTGCACATCCAGATGATGGTGCGTATAATTTTTTTGTTTGTGTGTCGGTAAAATTAATCATGCGAGAAATGGCCGGTGTAAACGCCTTTATGCGCAAATACTGATATAATAAACATAATATCGAAGTAAACTGTTTTTGCTTTGTCATTATGGGGGTATTGTGTGTAGATTGAGTGGAAACAATTATTTGGTCCATTTTCGAATGGTGCTGTGGCGTGACAAAATGTGGAAAAAGTCAAGGGGTCTGAATACTTTACGAATGCACTGTATCTGTTTGTAATCCTTTTACCCCCACCCTTACCACCCCCCCCCCCCCCCCCCCCCCAAAAAAAAAAACATTGTAAAATGGTTATCCCACTGGCTATAAGGTGAATGCCCCAATTTGTAAGTCACTCTGGATAAGAGCGTCTGCTAAATGACGTAAATGTAAATGTAAATGTGAGTGCATACATTTTTCATACTGACCCCCCGTGGTTAAGCACGCCTGAGGTAGAGAATTTCATGATAAGCTGTAGACCACACTATTTACCAAGAGAGTTTTCATCTATATTTTTCGTTGCTGTCTATTTACCACCACAAACTGATGCTGGCACTAAGACTGCACTAAATGAACTGTATAAGGCCATAAGCAAACAGGAAAACGCTCATCCAGAGGCGCTGCTCCTAGTGGCCGGGGACTTTAATTAAATCAGTTCTACCTAATTTCTACCAGCATGTTAAATGTGCAACCAGAGGGAAAGAAACTCTAGACCACCTTTACTCCACACACAGAGACGCATACAAAGCTCTCCCTCGCCCTCCATTTGGAAAATGTGACCATAATTATATCCTCCTGATTTCTGCTTACAAGCAAAAACTAAAGCAGGAAGCACCAGTCACTCGGTCAATAAAAAAGTGGTCAGATGAAGCAGATGCTAAGCTACAGGACTGTTTTGCACAGACTGGAATATTTTCCGGGATTCTTCCGATGGCATTGAGGAGTACATCACATCAGTCACTGACTTCATCAATAAGTGCATCGATGACGTCGTCCCCACAGTGACTGTACGTACATACCCCAACCAGAAGCCATGGATTACAGGCAACATCCGCACTGAGCTAAAGGGTAGAGCTGCCGCTTTCAAGGAGCGGGACTCTAACCCGGTCGCTTATAAGAAATCCCGCTCTGCCCTCCGACGAACCATCAATACACGACTAAGATCGAATCGTACTACACCGGCTCTGACGCTGGTCGGATGTGGCAAGGCTTGAAAACTATTACAGACTACAAAGGGAAGCACAGCCACAAGCTGCCCAGTGACACAAGCCTACCAGATTAGCTAAATTACTTCTATGCTCGCTTTGAGGCAAGTAACACTGAAACATGCATGAGAGCATCAGCTGTTCCGGATGACTGTGTGATCACGCTCTCCGTAGCCGATGTGAGTAAGACCTTTAAACAGGTCAACATTCACAAGGCCGCGGGGCCAGACGGATTACCAGGATGTGTACTCCGAGAATGCACTGACCAACTGGCAAGTGTCTTCACTGACATTTTCAACCTCTCCCTGTCTGAGTCCAACATGTTTCAAGCAGACCACCATAGTCCCTGTGCCCAAGAACACTAAGGTAACCTGCCTAAATGACTAGCGACCCATAGCACTCACATCTGTAGCCATGAAGTGCTTTGAAAGGCTGGTCTTAGCTCACATCAACACCATTATCCCAGAAACCCTAAACTCACTCCAATTTGCATATCGCCCCAACAGATCCACAGATGATGCATTCTCTATTGCGCTCCACACTGCCCTTTCACACCTGGACAAAAGGAACACCTATGTGAGAATGCTATTCATTGACTACAGCTCAGTGTTCAACACCATAGTGCCCACATAGCTCATCACTAAGCTAAGGACCCTGGGACTAAACACCTCCCTCTGCAACTGGATCCTGGACTTCCTGACGGGCCGCCCCCAGGTGGTAAGGGTAGGTAACAACACATCTGCCACACTGATCCTCAACACGGGGGCCCCTCATTGGTGTGTGCTCAGTCCCCTCCTGTACTCCCTGTTCACCCATGACTGCATGGCCAGGCACGACTCCAACACCATCATTAAGTTTGCCGACGACACAACAGTGGTAGGCCTGATCACCGACAACGACGAGACAGCCTATAGGGAGGAGGTCAGAGACCTGGCCGTGTGGTGCCAGGACAACAACCTCTCCCTCAATGTGATCAAGACAAAGGAGATGATTGTGGGCTACAGGAAAATGAAGAGGACAGAGCACACAAAAGACGGGGCTGTAGTGGAGCAGGTTGAGAGCTTCAAGTTCCTTGGTGTCCACATCACCAACAAACTAACATGGTCCAAGCACACCAAGACAGTCGTGAAGAGGGCACGACAAACCTATTCCCCCTAAGGAGACTGAAAATATTTGGCATGGGTCCTCAGATCCTCAAAAGTTTCTACAGCTGCACCATCGAGAGCATCCTGACTGGTTGCATCACTGCCTGGTATGGCAACTGCTCGGCCTCCGACCGCAAGGCACTACAGAGGGTAGTGCGTACGGCCCAGTACATCACTGGGGCCAAGCTTCCTGCCATCCAGGACCTCTATACCAGGCAGTGTCAGAGGAAGGCCCTAAAAATTGTCAAAGACTCCAGCCACCTTAGTCATAGACTGTTCTCTCTGCTACCGCACGGCAAGCGGTACCGGAGCGCCAAGTCTAGGTCCAAGACGCTTCTAAACAGCTTCTACCCCCAAGCCATAAGACTCCTGACCATCTAATCAAATGTCTACCCAGACTATTTGCATTGCCCCCCACCCCCACCCCTCTTTTACGCTGCTGCTACTCTTTATTTTCTATGCATAGTCACTTTAATAACTCTACCTACATGTACATATTACCCCAATTACCTCAACTAACCGGTGCCCCCGCACATTGACTGGGTACCGGTACCCCCTGTATATAGCCTCGCTATTGTTATTTTTACTGCTGCTATTCTTTCTTAAAAATGCATTGTTGGTTAAGGGCTTATAAGTAAGCATTTCACTGTAAGGTCTACACCGGTTGTATTCGGCGCATGTGACAAATACAATTTGATTTGACATGTCTGTGCTGTATAGTCTCCTCTTATGTTTGGCATGACAATGATCATAGGAGTCGACAAGACAACACAAACAGATCTGGGACCAGGCTAGTTGCAATTATTATAGGAGTTGACAAGACAACACAAACAGATCTGGGACCAGGCTAGTTAAAATGATTACAGGAGTTGACAAGACAACACAAACATTTCTGGGACCAGGCTAGTTACAATGCAGTACATTATGTTTAACTACAATCTCTCTTCTTTGCTTCCCCCCAGTGTCTACAGGAGCCGTTTGTGCGTTCCCTGAGCTCCTATAAACTCCACCGTACAGCCAGTCCCTTCGAACGGCAGGACACCTGTTTGGAGTGACACCCCACCACCCTGGCTGTGACCTCCAAGGGGTGAGACGTAGTCCTCTGGAGGTACAGAGTGATCAACGAGACCGGCTTCATACAAGGGGGGGGAGAATGCCTGATACACAGTTCCTATCGGGCAAAACAGGTTGACTTCATTACAACCTGCAAATAAACTGAAAGTGTGCATACTGCCCCCTGGAGTTTGTTTGAACAGGTATAAAGGCAAGGTTAGCGATTTACTGCCACCTGCAGTTATGGAATGTTTACTCATGAGTATATATTAATTGGAAAAGTCTAAACGAGATCCTTGGGATGTCCCAACTCTTGTCACCCCATTGAAGTTAAAATGTAAAACAATTAAGGTTAGGTAAGGATCCCGGATAGCACTAACTATAATGAATTGGCTGATCCCTCCTGATGACCTGGATGGAATTATGTGACCCTTCCTTTACCCATAAGAAGTCCCATCCAGTTGGTGAAAGTCCTCAATGGCGCTTCCCATGCTAAAACCAGCTTTTGGGCCATAGAGTCCTCTATAATTAATATAATAATAATATGCCATTCAGCAGATGCTTTTATCCAAAAGCGACTTACAGTCATGCGTGCATACATTTTTGTGTATGGGTGGACCACGGGGATCGAACCCACTACCCTGAATTCTGTCTCTTCACCTCAGCATTCCTACCAACAGGTAACTGACCATATATGCCATCTTAAACTGCAGCTCAACAATTGGGCAGGTAAGCGCCGTGCTCTACCAGCTGAGCTACAGAGGACCAGGTGCACGATGCCATAATTCTTTATGGTTCATGCACCTCATCCCATGTCATTCAGAAGCATCGTCCTATCCATAGGCATCACGTCAGGATTAGCTTGCCGAAGGTGTCCCTGTCTGTTTAGTAATGTGGGAACAGCAGCAGGGCTGTGTGTATGTATGGGCCCTTAGGGAGGCATTATGACTTTAAGATCAGCATGCGCATCACTAAACTTCCAGGAATTTACAAGCACGGCCCTCAAATCAGAATACCACCCTTAGGCTTCATTTACACAAGCAGCCCAATACTAATATTTTTGCCCAATTTATTGTCAAACGAGCTAATCTGATTGGTCCCCAATTTTTTTTTTTTTTAAATAGTGCAAAAAGATCAGAATTGGGCTGCCTGTGTAAACGCGACCTTAGTAAGTGAGAGTGGTTTTTCA